GATATTGTAATATATCTTCCAGTCAATTACAGCTCATAGCAGCCGGTGAAGAACAGAGATGAACCATACCATATCCTGTAATTTCTCCATTTGCTTACTTACTATCTCTGATATGCTTGAGCCCATCATTACAGTCATTGTGTCCAATCCATCTCTGTCAGAGTCTTCCTTTCTTAGGCTGACCCTCTACCATTCCAAGCATGATGTTCTTTTCCAAGGACTGATTCTTCCTAACAACATGTCCAAAGTGTGTGAGATGCAACTTCATCATACTTGCCTCCAAGGAGCACCCTGGTTTTATTTTCTCCAAAGCATATTTGTTCTTTTGGAAGTCCATGAGATATTCTGTACTCTTCTTCAACACCACAACTCAAAGGCATTAGGTTATTTTTTATTATGGTGATACATGACTGTGGAAACTATCAAACAGTATCATTAATATTACATGCACGCAAAATACTGCTCAAGATCATTAAAAAATGTCTAGAACAGTACATAGTTAGGGAACTACCAGAATATCAAGCTGAATTTAGAAGAGGCCATGTCACCAGGGATATCATTGCTAATGTCTTACGGATCCCGGCTGAAAGTAATGGATACCAGATGAATGTCTATTTGTGCTTTATTGACTATGCAAAGGCTTTTCACGGTGTGGGTCATGATTAGTTGTGGCTGACATTGAGAATAATGGAAATCCCAAAGCACTTGATTGTGCTCATGCGGACCCTATCCCTGGACCAAGCTGTTGTGCAGAACAGAGTAGAGAAACACTGCATGGTTTAAAATTGGGAAGGAAGTGCATCAGGGTTGTATTCTCTCTCCATACCTATTCAGTCTGTATGCTTAGAGATTATTTGAGAAGCTGAACTCTTAGAAAAGGAGTGAGGCATCAGGATTGGAGGGAGACTCATCAATACCTGCATATGCAGATGATACAACCTTGCTTGCTGAAAGTAAGGAGGATTTGAAGCACTTGTTGCAGAAGATCAAGAAATGCAGCCTTCTGTATAGATTGCATCTCAATGTCAAGAAAACAAAGATTCTTACCACTGGACCGATAGGCAGCATCATGATGAATGGAGAAGAGACTGAAACTGTGAACAAATTCATCTTGCTTGGATCCACAATTAATACCCTTGGTACAAGCAGTCAGGAAATAAGGAGACTCTGCTATCCGAATTATTGAGGAGTAATGGTTTCAGTTTGAGAACTAAGGTGTGTCTGATTCAATCCATTGTCTTTCTGATTACTTGTTATGCATCTGAGAGCTGGGTAATTAATAAAGATGAAAAAGGAAGAATTGATACCTTTGAGCTATGCTGTTGGGGAAGAGCACTGAACATCCCATGGAAGACCAGGAGAACAAACTTATGTCTTGAAGGTGCAACCAGAGTACTCTTTAGAGTCAAGAAGGATGAGGCTTCACCTCACATACTTGGGACATGTTGCTAGGAGGGGATATTCTTTGGAGAAGTACATAATGATGGGAAGGGTAGACGGTTGGTGAATAGAGGAAGACCTTCAACCAGCTGAATTGACATGGTGACTGCTGCAGTGGGCTCTTGTGTGTCAGGAAGTATGAGGATGGCACAGGATAGAACAGGGTTCAGATCCTTTGTTCATAGGGTTGCTATGAGTCATACTCAATGACACTTAAAAAAAACAACAACAGGTGTTTCATGTTCTACCAACTCTGGCCTCTTTCAAGAGAGATACAAATAAAGGAGAAAGTAGAAAGAAGAGTTACAAATTAGTATAATCAGTGGCATGTAGTATAATGCATACGAATTATTGAATAAAAAGCTAAATTGCTTTGTAAACTTTAATTCAATCACAATTAAAAAGGTTTGGAGTGGGGAGGGGGGAAGAGAAAGGTAGTGAGGGTAGCCTTTAATCCAGAATCCTAATTCCAAAACCTTACCTGCTTTATTACACATGGTTGCTGTGAGTTGCTATGATGGAAAACATCTCAGAAGAAATTTCTGGAAATCTGCTCTTAAAAAAATCAGCCCATGAAAACCTTATAGACCACAGTTCCATTCTGAAACCTTGAGTTGGAACTGATGGTTTAGCTGACTGGTGTCTTCTCAGATACATTTCAGTAGGGGAATCATCAGAGTGTACATCAGCTCAGTTGACCACTCCCTGATGATAGTAAGATGTTCATTGGCCCAAACAGAAAATGTCACAATGGAGACTCTTGTGATGATTGTGTATGGCAGTCACAATTGCTCATCACTGATGAGATCCCAATAACAGAGCCATGGGTCTCTTTCAAGCCATGAGGTTGAAACTGTACAGCAACTAGACATTCTGAAGGTTGACCATGTCACCTGGATTCATCCTGACCATGTGGAATCTCAGCTATCTTCCCAGAAGAAGATAATGAGAAATCTTCCAGCCAGAGATAATGAGAAATAATGGCTAGAAAAGCCATGGGATGGGCTGCGGTGTTAGCTTAAAAGTTTGCTTTCCTACCCATTACATTAGCTCCCTCTGGTCTCTTATCTTGACTGCAGACACACAGTCTTACAAATAATCATCAGTGGTGGGACTAGAATAAGAGAGAGTGCTTCCTACTCTGAGCAGCTAGACTTGAGAGAGACTGGAAGGAGACCCTGGTGAGAGTGAGACCCTGATGATCATGGTAGAGAGACTGGCATTGCTGTAGAGGAACTGTGGCAAGGTATAACCAGAGGAGCCATGAGACAAAGGCCACAGTTAGAGGTTTTACTGTTCTTTCTGGATGATTGAAGAAGGAACTGACTTATAACAGCTCTGAGACAAACTTTGCTGGGTGATTTGGGTTTGTGCTACTGAACTGAACTGGGACTTTTACTGTTTGACAAGTTATATTTTGCTGTTAAAATGGCTTGGAACTGCTGGACTAAACCCTGGACTTGCATTGGGTGATATTCTTTGCCTCCTCCACTTCCCTAATAAACCTCACTCTTGGTACCACAACTGTGAGTAGAGTCTGTGAGCCAACAAAGAATATTGAATCCAGTCGTTAGTGGAAATAGGTCCAGGAGTATGGGGGAGTGGCGTGTCTGACATTTGTCCCACTCCTAAATTCAGCTGCTGTTACTTGAAACTCAAGCAGCTGATTTAATAATTACTTAGATTTTCCTTTTTGGATAACAGTTGAAAAACTTAGTATCTGAAAAGTTGAAGACAAGTTGTAGTTTTAAAAGTTTAAGGAAGTCATTGAAACCTACTGGTAAATTCACATGAAAACAGAATATTCAGGATACTTACTATTTCTGATTATGAAGAGGATATAAAATCGTTAAACTAAAGTGTGGGGATTTAACTAGTTATGCTATTGAGTATATTGTTTGGTTAATAATAGTGCTTCTAGACTTTTATTTCTTTATTATTTTCTGAATTGTCTTTTTTTTACTTAATATAAATTGTTGTTGTTGTTGTTATGTGCCTGCGACTCATAGCGACCCTATGTACAACTTTGTATTTATGTACAATTTTGATTTGATTTTTTTTAATATAAATAGGAAATGGTAAAAAGATTTGTGAATTTATAATCATATTTACCTAAATTTAAATCTCAGCTCCTACTCTTAATATATTTCTTTTGACTGTAATTGAACCTCTCACAATTTCTGCTTTTCATCTTTAAAGTACAAGATAATACTTGTAAAGTTGCTATCAAGATACGTAGACTAAAACAAAAAAAAGATATGTAGACTATATTGAGCACATTATGCAGTATATACTTTTAACTTCTGTTTTAAAATACTTAAGATAAAACTTAAGAGCTTTGGTGTCCTAGTTCATAGGGAGTTGTGCTACTAACCCAAAAGTGACATCTCCGGTGGTCCCAATCTACCACTAGTTCCAAGGGAGAAAGCTAGGCTATGTGCTGTTGTGTGACTTACAGCCTATGAAAATCTGCTGGAGACAACTATGAGTCAGTTCCAACTCAAGGGCAAGGGGATAGAGGAAGAGATTAAATACTAATGCCCATAACTTTGATTATTTATTGTACCATGTATATTATTTATAGAAGAACATAATAACTTATACTTAAGATATTATACATAAACTATAAAGAATCTATAGATTATTTTCAGTGATATATTTGTATTTCAAATCTTTGTAATTTATTGTCTTGGAATAATTTATTTCTATTCTTTTTTCTTATTACCTTTTGTTTGACGATACTAGGCTATTAGAAAGTTACATCTAGAAAAATAGCTTAAGGTCTTTTTACTCTCTAACATAAAGGAATCTAAACATTTTGACTTAGGAGCATCCTTTCCACTCTACTATTTAGGTACTGTTACATTTACTATATTAGGGTGAGGAGATGTTGAAGCACATGGCCTCTGACTCTGAAGTTTTTTCATCTGGGAAGTGTGTACTATATGAAAAATTTTTCATAGTACAGAACTAAATTTTTTTAGTAATTCTAATATCAAATAACTTTATAGTTGTATACATTATTCAAAAACTCAATAAGCTTTTAGGGTAAGCTTGAAACAAAGTTTAGAAAATATTACTGTGTTTTATATACTTAAGAATTAATACATTTTACTCAAATAGTGATCATTTTAATTTTAAACTAATAATTTAGAAATAGCATTCAAATGTTTAGCTTTTGTATAGTATTTGTAATTCATGGGTTACATTCTTCCTCTCAAGTACATGGGATTATTAAGAGTTGGCATCAACTGGACTACAAGAAGTTTGGTTAAAGACATATTCTGTCATTAAATAGATAATCTTGTTTCTCCAGTAAGTAGTATGATGGTGGTGAAAACCTGCTGGAGGGTCTGTTCTAACTCGGCAGTATACAACAACAACATGGTAATACATAACTTTTATGAACCACATGAAAATGCATTTATGATTCCATGATTTATAAAATAAGAACCAGTGCATATTTATTCTGTTTTGTAAGGTGAAAGCAGATATTAAGTTACTATAATTCAGCGTGTTTTCAAGTGATCATATTTTCTGTTGTTTCCTTCTCATTTTAGGTGCAGCAGTTGCAGGCATTTACAGAGTCGCAGGGAAAAACATGGCCCCATTGGAAGCGCTGGTGTGGGGTGTTGGACAGACTGTACTGACACTAATCATCTCCTTTTCAAGGATCCTCGCCACACTTTGAGGCTTCTACGGAAATGGCTTACCGTCACATAAGGAAACAGATGTACAGATTCCCTGAAAATGGCATTGATGATAAGTAGAAATGAAATTGTTCAAGAATGTGGAATGAGAAGGTTACAATGCAGCCTTGAGCTGTGTGGGAAGATTGCCCTCTGGTGTTCAAGTGATTGCACTACTGCACTGCACCTTATGTGCCTCCGTCCCAGGCAAGGTGCATCCCACTCTGCGAAGCTACGAGAAAAAGCACCTTGTTTAGCTGCCAATCAGGTTAACATTGGTGTTGAAATCATTGTTCTCAACAGTGTTGTATTAAACTACAGGGACGTTTTGAGGAGTTGATATATATGTGCCAAACTTTTTTTCTTTTTTCTTTTTAACATTGATCATGTGACAGTTTGCAAGTAGATGTAGATGAGTGCTGTGAACATACTTGACTTGAATTCAGGTAAGGTAGTAAGAGTTTTGTTTTGTAAAGCTAAACTTCGTATGAGTGCTGAATACTGAATCACTTAATAAGAGATAAATTATTTGGTTTTTAATGTTGAGTGTTTCTGGGATTTAGGGCTTAATATGTTTAGGCATAATTGTTATTTAATTTATGTGGAAAATACTACTTAATGGAAAACTAGCTAACTGTTTTAAGGAGTCAAAGTAGATCTATAGGGTGCATAATTTTCAGCAACTTAAATAACAACCCCTATAGTTTTCCCTCATGCGTAAATACTCTATATGAATTCAGAACTGTGGGTTACACATATTGATTGTAGTTTGTGTATCATAAAAATTTCATTTTTTTTAAATTTTGTAAGAAAAATACCTGAAAATGCATGTTGCATTTTTTTTATCCCTTCTGAAAGAAAGTGTTTGCCATGTATTTCATGGACAGAAGATCTTTATAATGCGTATCTCAGTGGGATAATATCACCTGTATTTATCTAGATTTTTGACAAAAGTTAAGCAGTCTTTTATTCTGGAGTATTAACTATATATAAAGAGTGGCCTAAATTAGGCTGTGGAAACAAAAAGCCTCATCTGCAGATACAAGTTAGTTGTAAAGCAAGAGTAATAAACTGTCTAAACTTGGGTATATGGCAATATTCTAAGTTTGCCAGGTAAAAATTGAGGGATATGGTAAATAATGAAAAATAATCTGGAAATTAATCTCAGCATATCAATTCAATACTGAGTTATTTTTGAGTGATTAGTTTTAGCTGTTTAGTTTTTATTTATTCTTTGTTACATATGTTTACTAGAATCTACATGATATTTATTGAAAATTGAATGGGCCTCTGTGAAAAACATTTTGAAAAGTTTTAGAAATACACAGTTGTTTGAGTACTGAAATAGGAGAAACACAAATAGTTGGTTAAATATATCTCTTTTTAATGAAATATTTTTGTACCAGGTGCAGTTGATAAATATGGTAACGTAAAAGAAGAATCACTTCAGATAATAAGAAACTAATGACAATGGAAATAGTAATCTGTAAATGATAGTCTCACTAATTTATAACTGTGTTTGGAAAAAAAGTATGCTTATATTGGTTCTATTCATATTTATTATGTTTGTTTACTACACCGTTTTTATTAATTTGGAAACGGAATATAACACCCACTCAACACAATCAGTGAGGATCCTTTTACCACACAGAAGCCATTTTCAGGGATTCCTTAACACCATGGCTTGGAAACTTGTTAAACAAAACAAATAAGCATCTATGCATTCTTGGAGACCTTAGAAATAAAATCTTAAATTTGATTATTCTTATTATACACTTACTATACCTGACATTATTTTTATGTGTTTGTTATTTCCATAATATTTTCTCAAATTGAATTTAGGTATAAACTTCCCCCAAACAGTTTGATTTTTCCTTTTCTGCTATAGTTGAGTTGTGAGCTTTATTTATTTGGCTCTTCTACACATAAAGTACTCATATTCCAGGGGAGTTACCAAATAATATGCCGAAATTGTGTCAGGCTTACAAAATGAATATTTATTTTAACAAGCGATTATTTTATGATTTAGGCAAGTTTTCATAAAGCATATGGTTCATGTTCTAATATTAACCAGAAAATAACTTAGACACATTAAATATATGAACGCATGGACCAAAGAGTTTAAGATTCCTGTTTTCACTCTGGGATGGGAATGTAAGTGTGTGGTTAATATTTAGTCTGTCATGTCTCTTGCAGTAGTAGTATTACCAAATTAAATTTTTTAACTTTGAATTGTGTGTGTGCACTTTTAACATTTGGGAGAATTTTTGGTTCTATTTGGTTTGCTGTTTTCAGTTTTACTCACTAGAAATTTTTACAAATGTTGCTTATTTAATGTTTTGAAATGCAGTTTAATAGTGTGAATGTGTGAAATAGTTTTAGTATTTATTTATATGCTGAGATTTCGTAAAAGTTATTGTTTTTCCTGTGGAGATATGAAACATTTAATTATATATGATAACATAATGATATGTAAGGATATATATCATTATACATTCACATAGGTATAAAGCTGTTACATATGAATACCATCTAATGGGACAGCTTTTATTCAATTAAAGTGAACACTTTAATGTTCTAGAAAAGAATTTGATGTATTTGTTCAGTTGAATGATCTTTCAGATCTGTTTGAGAATTGTTAAGATACATGTCTTAATAGTGCTAGGTAACTTTGTGATTTGACAAAAGCCCTTACTGAAAATTGGGTTGTTGCATACACTTAAAATGTGTATGTTGTTGAGCAGTAAGTTTTCTTTGTGGCAAATGCAAGAAGGAAATAGAGAGTCTCCAACTCTTTTACTCTCAGAGTACTTGATAAAACTTGGCTAACTGTGGAATCCACCCCCTCTAAGAGAAATCCCTGTACAAGCATGCCTCAGAGGTGCTTTGGGCTTGGTTCTAGAATGTCACGATAAAATGAATGTCTCCATAAATTGAATTGCATGATTTTTTTTCTGTTTTCCAGTGCATGTCAAAGTTAGGTTTACCCTAAACTGTAGACTCCCATGTGCAACAGCATTTGAAAAATTTGAGATATTGTGAGGATTACAAAAACGTGACACTCAGTGAGCGCATACTGTTGGGAGAATGGCACTGGTAGATTTGTTTGGCACAGAATTGCCACAAACCTTCAATTTGTAAAAAAGTGCAGTCTCTGCAAAGCTCAAGAAATTGAAGTCCATTTAAAGGAAGTATGCTTGTATGCTCAAACAAATTATTAAATATACTATTTGGAGGTAAATATAGGTAAGTCAGGGCTTTTCATAGAGGCTACAAAATAACATATGAACACAAAGAACAGAGACACGCCTCACCTCTTCATTTAAAGATTCTGTTGGTTGCCTAGTTAATAAGGGAAGTCTTTAATGAAGGCTATGTCCAGTGCATTCAGCTTAATACTTTTATTTTAGATCATTGCCAAGCAATGTTAATTTATTACTCAGTGTATTTTCTTAGTACTTGTAGCATATATTTCCACAGCCACCCAAAAGTTTCATGATTCTATTGTTTTTTTAATGAGAAGCGTCAGTACGTATATAACTTATTTGTGATGTCAGGAATAGAGAGAGATAGTCAAAGAATGTTGTTGGAAAAGGTCTTTGTAGCTATCTAATTAAGATGTGGAAATTGTACTTGGCCACCCTTATATGCCCACGCTGACACTCCCATGTCAACTAATTCAAGTTTATAAATATCTTCTGCGGATCTACAACAAATACTGTACTGAGTATTTCCTATAGTAAGTGCTACGATGTTCATAATGTGGTTTTATAGTTCATCAAGACCTAGCAGGGTTATTTTAAATCCTAAAATAATCGTAATGATATTTTGATTTCTGTTTTCCATTGTCTATTCATGTTCTTTTTCCTGCCTCAAATTCTCATTTTTCTAGTTCATTCATACCTGGTGGAATTTTAATGCTTATGTATCATTTCTGTGATAGTGAAGAGTCCAATCTAGCAGCAGACATTTGAATCCCACCTGTCACTAGTGACTTCTTTGGTTGTTAAGCAAAAATTCAGTCTATGGGTTTCAGTTCCCATTTTGTAACATGAGATTAATACCTCAGAATTGTGAGGATTGAATGGCAAAACTGTAATTGACAGTAAATGACCAATGGAGTGCCATTAAAATACTTATAAAAAATGATATTTTGCAGTACACTTGAATATGTTGGTTAAGTTTACCTGTTCTTCCCCCTCCCCCCCATTTCCTTGTTATCCTTCTGTCTGTTTTAGGAAGGAAACTAGAAACTTCTTTTTATGGTCTTGTCTCTCTTCCCCTCTCCTTCATCTTTTTTTTCAATCCGCAGATGTCTGTCCAAAGACACTTTGGAGTTAGTGGCAGTGTAGATGACAAGGGCCAACAGGATGAAATGAAAAGCTGTGCTTTTTACTGATTAGAATAAGAAGGGTAGAGATAACCAGCATTTGCTCCTTTACATAATTTTACTTCCCAAAGGAGCCTTGGTGGTGCAGTGATGAATCCTTGGCTGCTGACCTGCAGGTTGGTGATTCAGACTCACCAGCTCCACAGCCTCACAGGAGAAAAGATGTGGCTGTCTGCTTCTGTGCTGATTATAGCCCAACAAGCCCTCTGTGGCAGCCCTGTCCTCTCTCAGTGTTGCTGTGAGGCACAATTTACATGATGACACACAATCTTAGCACACTTCCCTTGAATTAACATTCGGTGAACCTCTACTATGTGCAGCTTATCACCTTTGTGTGAAAGGATGGAACAGTGAATAAGATTGGGCCCTTCGTTCTCCCTATCTTTGTCTCTTACCTGGCTGCCTTGAATGTTTGGCTCCAAGTGTAGTGCCCATGCTGAGAGTGGAAATAGGACTTCAGTGTCTCCCAGGTCCTTTATTCCATAGAACGAAGGTGCTTGACCTGTAGTTGCTTTTAACTTAAGAAGTGTATTTATGTCCATTTCATTATTTACCCTTTCATGACCAGTGGGACATAAAAGCACTCACTAGTATTTTCTTATAATGAGGTTT